GCAGACTCGTCGATTCATCGCCGATGCATCGGCGGTGCATCGGTGACGCATCGGCCCCGTTGGCGTGGAGACGACCGGGCTCCACATCGAGCCGCACCGCTGGGGCATCGGCGATGCGGCGCAGTCCTCTCGGACCCCATCTGCTCGGACCCCCTTTTGGGCGGGGGGCCTGGGGGGAAGTGAGAGGGGGAAGGCCTTCTCAGGAGGCTGCGGGGCTTCCCAGAGGCCCTCTGGCCTTATAAGACGCCGTCTGTCTTTGTCTTCGGAGCAGGCTCAGGCAACTTTTCAGAAGGCCAGAGGCCTTCCGAGCCCTTTGGGAATAGAGGCCTCCTAGATGGGGTCGGAGTAGTTAGGGTCGGATGGTCGCGCCGCATCGCCGATGCATCGGTGATGCACTGGCGATGCATCGTCGACGTCGGCGATGTATCGGCGACGTCGATGCGAAGCACATCCCACCCAAATCGAGCCGCATCGGCAATGCCTCGGCGATGCGGCGCGATCCTCCGACCCCGTCTGCTCCGACCCCACCTCTAGGAGGCCTCTACAGAGAAGGCCCGCCCCTTCTGCATTCCTCCCTGGGCTCGCCACTTACATGTGGGAGGCACGGGATGAAGGGGCCCTGGGACACACAAATAAATAAACGCACGTAACAGGACTCCCAATCTTTTCCGATATTTTCTAGGCTTTTGTCTCCCCCCCCACTCCCGATACCTCCCTGTGCTTTCTGGGCATCGACGATTACTTGTGTCTGTGTGTCTCTTCCCCTCCTGAGAACCTGGGGCCGACACAGGGCGACCAGCGCCAGGGGCCCCAAGAGCAGCATCGGGGTGCACCGTCGGCGGCAACTGCGGAGCTGGCGGCGCAGCAGCATGCCCCCGCCCTCCCGAGCCGCCCGGAGGGCAGACACGGGCGGCATCCTCGCAACACGGCTGCGGTTGGCTCGCGGGCTGGTCCGCGGGATGCAGCGCCAAGCGACCCCGCAACGGGGAGGTCCTTCTCCACCTCCTGCTCCGCCTCCTGCTCCTCCTCCCTCCCTCCTCCTCCTGCCTCCTCCTCCTCCTCCTCCTCCTCCTCCTCCTCCTCCTTCTCTTCCTCCTCCCTCCTCTTCCTCCTCCTCCTCCTCCTCCCTCCTCCCTCCTCCTCCTCATCCTTGCTCCCCCCCCTCAGGAATCCGTGGGCTAATCTGGCTTATCCGCACAAGCTCAAGCACGAACCGCGCCACTCTCTGCGCGCGTGCGCAGAAGCACACGCCCACGCCCATGCACTCTCGAACGCCACAGCTCATCTCTGTCGCAAGCGCCAGCGAGTTTTTTGTTTTTTGTTTTTTCTTATTCTTCCTCTTCCCCCCCGTTTTTTGTTGTTTTTAATATCTCTCTTTTTCTCTTTCTATTCTTTATGCTTCTCTCTCTCTCTTTCTTTATGTCTTTCTCTCTCTCTCTCTCTCTCTCTCTCTTGTATATATACATATATATATATATATATATAGATACTACACCCAGGGCCCTCCCCTTACCGAACGAATTTCGACTTCCCCAGGCGCTCAGTCGTGCCCCAAAGGGGTCCAGTACGGTTCCTGAACGGCCCAAGAGTGCTCCAAGGCGGCTTCAACTGGCTCCACGTCAGTGCGAGAGAACCCCAAAACGCTCCAAACGGCCTCCAGGTAACTCCAAAACGGTCCAAAATGTCTCCCCTGAAGACGCCCCGAAAAGCCTCGAGAGAACGCCAGACACTCCCAGATCGCAGCATTCCTCGAATAATACGTATATGTTAAAAGCTATACTTGATTTTTTGATTCTCCAAGGCTCCAGGACCGTTCAACCGGCGCCCCAAATCGTCCCAACACGGATCCAGAAGCCCCCGCGAAACCCCAAACGAGCCCCAAGACAGCCCCAGAGAGCCCCACGACGGCCCAAGATAACCCCACAACGGCCCCAAAGAGCGCCGAACGATTCAAAACGGCCCCAAGGGGCTCAAAAGAAAACCTCAAGATAACCCCAGGAAGCCCCCGGCAGAGACGTCAGGGCCCATGCCCATCCCGCCACCACTCTTCGCATGGACCCCACCCACTTGATAAATATGCCCCCTCCGGGCCTGTAAACGACGTCCATCGCGCGACCTTTCGAGTCTAAGCGCGCCTCCCGTCATCCGCCACGTCGGGGCCCCGACGCGGCCCTGCCACCACTTCCCCCCTGGACCCCCCCGCTTGAGAAAGATTTCCCCCCCCAGGGCCAGTAAACAAACTCCGTCGCGCGCCTCTTCGAGTCTAAGCGCGCTTCCCGTCATCCGCCAAGTCGCTGCGGAGGGACCCCGCCACCACTCCCCCCCTGGACCCCCCACTTGATAAAGATTTTCGCTCCAGGCCCGGACGCACCGTCCATCGCGCGACTCTTCGAATCTAAGCGCGCTTCCCGTCGTCCGCCAGCGAAGTTTCCCCGTGCAGCCCGCGCCCCCCTCCGTTGGAGAAAACTAATGCCCCTGGACCAACGGTGCACGCTAGCGGGGCTTCCCGTCATCCGCCAACTTCGTTCGCTCTCCCTCCAAGGGGCCGGGCGCCATCGATCGCGCATATGTTTTGGTCAGCGGCGAGGGCGAGCGCCAACGCAGTCGAACAGCCGGTGCACTGGAAGGTGAGCGGCCAGTGCAAGACCACGCCGCCGATCACGCACGCCTGCGCGGCGCAAGCGGGGCGGCGCCGCTGGACCCACGGGCAACGCGCCGCTCTGGGCCTCCCTCGGGCCCCTCTGCGACCCCCTGGCCTCCCTCCCCAGCCCCACCTCTCCGGATCCGCCACCGTGCCGCGAGGCACGAGTTGGGGTGCCGTCAGGCCCTTTGCAGTCCTCGATCCCCTGTCCTCCAGATCGAGCGTTCGGGGGCCGGGACCCAAAATAATCAAATGTTTCAGGGTTCCTGGCGTGCGGGCGCCCCGAAACGGGCAGAGGGCCCTGAGAGGGCGACGACCCAAGCACGGTGGCGGGATGGACTGAAGACTACTAGATCCGCCGCCCCCTGCGGCTTGTCACAGAGGTGCACGCCGTGCCAGATTTTAGGTAGTTGTTGGTTCTCTTCGAAAATTCCCAGAAAGGTCTTCGGCCCAACCCGCTGGCCACCTGGAAAGACGCGGAAGGACACTCAAAGATAGGAAAAACCGGAAAACTCACCTCCACGAGGACCCGTCAACTTCCCAGGTCGTCGGTATTCCCGCTCCAGACGGCCCTAAGAGAGCCGCCAAGACGGCCAAGATGGTTTCCAAGATCGCCCAAGACGGCCCAAGAGGCCTCCAAGACGGCCAAGGAGGCCTCCAAAAGGACCTCCAGGAAGGCCTGCAGAGGTCCAATCATTGATCGTCCTTCGTTTTTGATCGATTCTGGCGTTTGCTCCTCTCTGGCTCTGCGACGGTCCACGACGGCCTCAGACCACCAAGATGGCCCTAAGAGCGCCCGGGAGGCCTGAGAGATGGCCCTTTGGCGGCCCAAGAGGCCATCAAGATGGACCCAAGAGGGCCTCAAGACAGCCCAGGAAACCTCCAAGACGCCCAAGATGGTCTCCAAGACAGCCCTGAAACACCCCTAAGACGGCCCCAACTTGGCTCAGAGGCCCCCGGGACGGTTTCCGACGCCCTCAGACGACCAAAGAGCCTCACACAAGGAGCCTCCAAAGGTCCCCAAGAGGCCAAAGGAAACCCCCAAGAAGCCTTCCAGATGCCCCCAGGAAGCTCCCAGAATGCTAAAAGAGTGTCCCAAGAGACTCCCAAGGGGCCTCCTTCTCCTTTTTCTTTTCCTCCCTGTCCTCCTCTTCTTATCTCCCCCACGTGTTCCCAGAATGGCTTGGCCGAGCTCTGGTCGCAACGTTTGGCCACATAGGTGCTTCCAAAAGGCAGGGGGCGGCGGTGATTCGCGGTAAGCGTTTTCGTTAAGAAAACATGGAACGAACCTAACTTAGGCCAGAACATCATCCTGCAAGAACATGATATTCTCCGCTGGACAGAACACATCGAACATCCAATGGTACCCGAACCAGGATTCACGAGAACATCCAACAACCACGAAGAACATTAGGACACCCTCCCCGAATCGACCTCGATCTTCTACCTCGGTCCGCTTGTGAAAGAACAGCAGCGCGAAGACGCAAAGTACAAGAACAGCAACAAGCGACCTTCGAACTAGAATAGCAGGCAGAGGAACAACATGGTCGATCCTGGAAAACTTGCACCCGCAGCATTGAGGGGCGTGGGACTGGCATAGCGGGTGCGCATCGACCTGGAATCGGCGACCCCTCGTCGGTATATCGGCGAGTGGCCCCCGACAGCGAAACAGCACCTTCCTGGGCGGGGTGGGGTACCGGGCCCCTATCGACGATCAATTGGCGATTCGGGTCGATGCGCTCCCCCCATGCCTATCTTTGGACGCCCGAAATGGGTACGGAAAGAATGGGTACAATGCCCAACAACAAGTGTTGTCCCAAACCGACAGCGGCCGCTGTTGGGCAGGCGGCCTCCTGTTTCAAATGGACACAGGCCGCGGCGGCGCGGACAGCGAGTCCTGTTCAAAATGAACAGGGACTTCTGCTGAGCATTGTACCCACTCTTTCCGTGCCCATCCCGTCCGTGCAGACTATCCCCCCCTATCGCTGCCCCCGAAGCATCTTGGCGCCTGCCTCTCACCTCCGCCGCCTTCCGCCGGCGAGCCCGCCGGCGCCCTGCTTCCGCGGGCCCGCCGCTGGCCCGCCACTCCTGCGTGTATAGTCGACACGAGCTTCTCTCGCGCGTCGCGCCCCGGGCCGGCCCTGAGCCAGGCCTCCTCCTCATCCTCCTCGTCCTCCTCCTCCTGCCGATCCTCGTCTTCTCCTCCTCCTCCTCCTCCTCCTGCCGATCCTCGTCTTCTCCTCCTCCTCCTCCTCCTCCTTCTCCTTCTCTTCCTCCTCCTCCTCCTCCTTCCCTCCCGATCCTCGCCCTCGCCTCCTCCTTCGTTCCTTTCTCTGTTTTCGCGCGTCGCGCCCCGGGCCAGTCCTGAGCCGGGCCTCCTCGGCGGGCTTCTCCGCCGCCGACGTCATCGAGTTCGAGCTCTCTCGCGGGCTGCCGGCGGTCGCCGGAGGCCTCTCGGCCGCCCCACCCCCCGGCTTGACGACGACAGATTCGGCATCTCTGTCAAGGGCACGGGATGGCACGCAACGAAGTGCGACGGCTGCCCTCCCGAGGCTCCACCTCGTTTCTGGAGCGGGCTGTGGCTTGGTTCTCCCCCCCGGCATCGACCCGTTTCGGGTTCCAGATTCACCCTGGAACGGTTCCGGGGTGAACATTGGAAGCTGAAACGGGTGATCTTCCATCTGGGCGCTCTCAGGAGCCTCGCGGGTGCCCCTCGGGGATGGGGGGGGTGTATCCGAGCCCCCAAAATGGCAATTTTCCGAATGAAATATCTTATTGGGGAGCTTGTTTCTCGCGGCTGGGCCCTCCCGCTCAGCGTCGGGAAGTCGCAAATGGATGTTCACCCCGGAACCGTTCCAGGGTGAAAAGCCATCTGGAACCCTCTCCCAGCGCAAAACAGATCTCTCGCGGGGAGGGGGGGGGTGTACCCGAGCCCCCCAAATGGCCAGTTTCCACATGAGATTTCTGATTGGGGAGCTTGTTTTCGCGGCTGGGCCCTCCCGCTCAGCGTCGGGAGGTCCCACATGGATGTTCACCCCGGAACCGTTCCAGGGTGAAAATCCTGGGACCCTCTCCCAGCGCAAAACGGCTCTCTCGGGGATGGGGGGGGGCACCCGAACCCCCCACATGGTCATTTTCCGAATGACATCTTTTTTTGGGGAGCTTAGTTTTCGCGGCTGGGCCCTCCCGCTCAGCGTCGGGAGGTTCCAGATGAGTTTTCACCTCAGAACCGTTCCAAAATGAAGATCCATGTGGAACCCTCTCCCAGCGCAAAACGGCTCTCTCAGGAAGGGGGGGGAGTGTACCCGAGCCCCCAAAATGGCCATTTTCCAAATGAGATTTCTGATTAGGGAGCTTGTTTTTCGCGGCTGGGCCCTCCCGCTCAGCGTCGGGAGGTCCCGACCCTGAGGTTCAGGAGGTTTCGTTTTGAGATCAAGGCTAATGGACCTCATTTACATGGTTGGACCTTATCTTGATGTTGATCGATAACGGATCTCGTTTATCATGTTGGATATCGTTTGTTGTTGTGGATCTAAAACCATAATATCATGTATATCACGTTAAAGAGTGCACAATATAAGACATGCCATCTGACGACGTAATATATGTTAGACATGTGCAGTCATGTAAGTAAAGTTACTATGTATGGCACATGTATATATATATACACGTATATATCATACGTGTATAGTAATAGCATGCGATCGTATTAAACATGTGGTAATGCATAATACCACGTAAAACTCAAACTTTGAGCGCGTGTAATGTATGATGTTTTTGTTCGGTGCGCCGAGCTCGGCAACGGTATTGCACAGTCATTCGTAATAACCCAGCCGCGTACAGCTGGCACGGCGGGGCAAACAGTTAAACAACATAGTGATTCGCAATGCCAAGTGATGAACGCGGCGATGCATACCATGCGGCCGGGGAAATTCGATGTCAGCCATGCAGCGCGGACGCCTCTCGCGAAACGCGTGAGTATGGACATACACGTAACTCTATACAGCTAACACATATATCTACATACACACACGTCGGCGGCGACCTCCCTCCCTCCTCGAAAAATCGCCCTCTCCATCCCCAGGTATGTCCAGGAGCGCCCCGACCAGAATTTCGAAGCGGATCCAGCCGAGGCGCCGAACACCGAGAACGTTCGTCGCGCGTGTTCGTTTTCTGCTTGCGTGCACTACCCACTGTTGTATGCGTGATCCTCCTTATCACATTGGTCGTCGCCGCTATCATCGTACATGGGTCGTGCGTGCCAAACCCTACACGTATCATACGTCTCGTCCGCCTCCTCCGACCCCTCCTCTTGCGTTGTTGATTGCGTACACCACCCACCCTTCACCGACCAGTGGATTCGATCACAATAGGTACTCATAGAGGCCACGAACTCCTGAAATCGTCAGTACTGCCCAGCCCGTCACAAGCCCAACGAAAGTGAACGCTCGCGTTGAGTTTGAATGAGCTCGTTGATCTTCCTCGCATGCCACTCAATATACGCGCATCCTTCTATAGCATGTGTGCCCCCATCCTCCTTACCGTCAATCTCGATGCATCGCGAATGCAAGGGACTGGCATGAACGGTGTGTTACCCTGGCCTCGGCTATGATGCGAACTGCAGGAGAGCACCGCGCAGCGACTGGAAACGTGCATTTGAACAAGTGGCAGCACGTGCAGTGCACCTCACGCCGCAGACGTGCTTCGAACATGGCTACCGGCATATTACACGTGGCATGCACCCGAACTCCACCCCCACCAATTTCGAGATGCTGCGTATCAAACCCTGTCCCCCCGTACACAGGCATATCCAATTTGACCGTGCTCAGAGGTCCGCTGCTTCTTAAGGGGGGCGACGGCTCGACCTGTTTGGAGACGGCAGTCGCCGCTACCACTGGCGACTCCATCGCACGGCGGTGGCATCTCCCCAACAACGGCTCCGCGAGAAGCCGCCGTCTGGCAAGCGCGGGTCCGTCCACGAAGCGTCCTGCTTCTTCTCGCACTCGAGGTCACCCTGAGAGTGCTTGGGGTTTGCCATCGGCGAGCTGGTCGGTGGAGGGGGCGGCGGCGGCAGCAGCACGTCATGACCAACATGGCTGTCATCGTCCACCTCCACCACGAGCGGGCTGTCATCACCACTGCACACTGGCCGCTTCTTCGGCTGCGAACGCTGCTTGGGGAGGGTTTGGACCTGGTACTCCGCGCGGTCGGGCGCGCTGCCGCATGGCCTCGGAAGCGGCGGTAGAACTCCTGAGACTGAATCAGGATGCTGAGATTCAACGTGCGGAGCCCGATGAGGCCCCTCGACGAAGTTCAATCGCGCGCGGGGTCACCACTTGAAAGCACGCCCCATCAAAGGTTTCTGGCAGTGCTGGCACCACAAGTTTTCTGTTGGGCTTGACCTCTGTAAGGAGCTCCTCTGGATGGGGCAGCCATCAGCTGGAACTCTGTGCAGGATGCGTGAGTTACCGATGCCCGTCAGCGTTGGCTTGGTCCAAAAATGGCAGCACGTGCGCACGGCTATTGCCGATGGCGGTGCTGATTACGACTAGCGTGACCGAGCGACTAAAGGAACGAACTGAGGTTCACATCAACGTGATATCCTGCGCACGTTTTTCAAGTTTCCAACCTCGAACGCCACATGAAACAATGTTCGGGTCAAAATGCTGCGGCTGCGCGTCCGCGATATCGCGGCGCGAGCCTCGCCCCCGCGGGCGACGCATTGTGCGATTCAAACACGCAATGTTCGTTTGGCTGTCGTGCGGATGTCGGTGCGCGCTACATGAATTGATGCATCGCTGCGGCTCGTCCCGTCAAAGCTGAGACAGTCGCCAGTGAACGCGCATTCGTGCTCAACGCATGTGCCCCCGCCCCCCATCAACACGTGCAATGGCAGCCACCCCAAAACAATCGTTGCCCCTCGCACACATTGCCCCTGTTACTTCCGAGCCCCTCCCCTATCACCCCTGAACACGCAACCGATGGACTCCGCGACCAAACCAATCGCAACATGCATTACGGAAGCCTGCCCGCCCGCATTGCACCGACGATTGCAGCGCAACAAACTTTAGGGTATGCTGAAGAAACTTTCAACATATCATGCTTTCCGTCGCACCGCGTCCCTTTCTTGATAGTGAGGAGAGCCTTCGCCTGCGTCTTCGTGGCGCCACGGTGCGTCCCAAGGCTGCAACGGGCGTTGAGTTGTTCCGCGCTGCTTCGGGCCATGTTGGCAATTGTCCAGAGGGGCGACCTGTCCAGCGCTGCAGAGCGCCATGCGGAGGCATCACGAATTGGTCAAGAGCATCTACCCAAGGTTCGTCAAGTGGAAGATCCATCTGCAGGAGCACGTGCCCGAGTTTTGGTTTCGCTGGCGCGTTTCGGTTGTCTTGTTTCGGCCCTAAGCGCCATCGCAAAGTGATGAAGCGCGTGCGCGGTTTTTCGTTTCACAAGAGCCCGACCACCGTTCTTGCAAACGATTTGCAGGGATTGGCCAATGCGCTAAGTAAGCCAGACACAACGGAATCACATTGCCTGCGCGGCCCTGCGCACGCATGCAACGCAGCCTTCGTTACGTCAGACCAGTGCCGCATCCGATGCGCGGCCTGGCCCCCCCCCTTCTGAATTCGCCGACGGGTGAGCTCGGAAAGGTTGACCCCCTGCAGCGGCGATAGCATGGCCTTATGCGCGTAGGCTTGACCATGGGCTTCGCGCGCGCAACTGGAACCCGCCCCGATTACGTTGTCTTCTCGCACGCCTGCGTGATGCTCGGCCCGTCGGCTTGGATACAGCAGGACGCGGAGGTCTGCGTCGCGCGTGCGCCCGGAAAAGTTGGAAGTGTTTACTTTGCAGAGCTTTGTGGCGTAATCGCGCCATCGTTGTTGCGCGAGCCTAATGCATGCAACGCATCGTCGTCATCAATAGCACGTGCAATCCAAACGCAATCAACGACTAGCACCACCATGCGTCATCATACCCATCATCATTACCAACAGCATCATAACCATCATAATCATAACCGCTGTCGCAATGATCAACACAACCATCACCATCATATCACTCACCATGTCAATCAACCACAAACAATCAGCCTAACCATATCACAACTAGCAACACACCATGTCATCAACAGCAAACAACGCCATCAACAACAAACATGACACCACCAACAACAACAAATACATTCACCATAACGGTCAACAACAAACACTGCCACCAACAACAAACAATGCCAACACCAAAAACAAACACTGCCATCATCATTCTTTGAGATGCTGTCATGCCGCTGCCGTTTCAAGGTCAGGATGCCGCCTCGGTTTCTCCCGCTCGCGGCGAGTCGCGTCCGTTGCTGCGACCGCGCTTCCCACGCGGCGCCGGCGCGGCCATCGGCGCCGCGGGCCAGGTCGGTCGCCGCCCAAGCCGACGCAGCCGCTGAGGACCAGATCGCCTCGAAC